TGTTCATGTGTTTTTATTTTTATTTATTCTACATACACAGTGTTGGGGAGTAACAGATTACATGTACCGGAGTTATGTAATCAGAGTACAAATGATGAGTAACTGTATTCAGTTACAGTTACTGTTTCAGTGAGTGGTAATTGGATTACAGTTACTTTGTTGAAATAAATGGATTACACAGCGGGATTTTACTGTTTTCACATTTTGGGCTATATCCCCCCCTACACCTAAACTAGATCTAAACTAGATCTAAACTAGATCTAAACTAGATCTAAACTGGGTCTAAACTAGATCTAAACCAGGTCTAAACTAGATCTAAACCAGGTCTAAACTAAGGTCTAAACCAGGTCTAAACTAGATCTAAACTAGGTCTAAACTAGATCTAAACCAGGTCTAAACAGGTCTAAACTAACTAGGTCTAAACTAGATCTAAACTAGGTCTAAACTAGATCTAAAGATCTAAACTGGGTCTAAACTAGTCTAGATCTAAACCAGGTCTAAACTAGATCTAAACTAGGTCTAAACCAGGTCTAAACTAGGATCTAAACTAGATCTAAACCAGGTCTAAACCAGGTCTAAACTAGATCAAAACTGGGTCTAAACTAGATCTAAACCAGGTCTAAACCAGGTCTAAACCAGGTCTAAACCAGGTCTAAAACCAGGTCTAAAACCAGGATCTAAACCAGGTCTAAACCAGGTCTAAACCAGAACTAAACCACGACTAAAACAGGATTTAACAGGACTAAATCATGCTGCGCAGACGTGTCTCTTCTTCTATCAATAATATTTTTAATATCATTAAGTAAAGTCTGGGATTTTTATTTTCTTTTATCAGACAAAACATCTTATGTTACGATATCCTCGTCTTTGCTTCTCTACAGCAAATCAAGTAATCCAAAGTATTCAGATTACGTTACTAAACTTAAGTAATTTAATGGATTCTGTTACAAACTACATTTTGGTGTGTGTAATCTGTAATCTGTGGGGAATACATTTTAAAAGTCACCTTCCCAACTCTGTACATACAATATATTCCGGCTGATGTCATAAAATAAAAGGTATTCAGTATGTAGAACAATCAAATCAAACACTAAGTAAGTCACTGAGCAGGTGCAGGAAGAAGCTGAATCTTATTGTGAATATGTTTACGTCCATAATTAGACGAGCCGACCTCAGCCTAAGGGACTAAAGATAGAAATTAGCTTCGGCTCCAATCCTGCATATTTACATTATTAAGTATTTACATGTTTATAATGTTTTTCTTTTGCATTATCTTGTCTTTTAATATGCACTGTTGCTTTAATATATGAATAAAAACATCTACCAACTACTGTAAAAAATAAAAAAATAATAATAATAATAATAATAATAAATAAATAATAAAATAAAATAATAAAAAAAATAATAATAATAATAATAATAATAATAATAATATAATAATAATAAATAAATAATAATAATAATAATAATAATAATAATAATAAAATAAACTTACGGATGGTAGTTTTAAATAAGTTGCAGAACATTATAATGTAAGCATACATGTTTGTCACTGTGGTACTTTCAGAGTCATTTTAAACCATCAGTGTCTCAAACCACGGACAATTATATTCATACAAGCAAAGACAGGTGAGTTATTTTCCACCAGCCAGTATGAAGTAAATAGATGAAGTGTCTTGCTTATGAACACGTCCGTGAGAAATACATGTTATTTTCCATTATATATAAAAGGCCGTTACTATCACCAGGAAATATGAAGTAAATAGATGAAGTGTCTTACTCATAAAACCAACGTCAGTGAGAAATGCATGTTATTTTTGATTAAATATAGACCGTCATTACAATCACCACCAATAGGCAAAGTGTCTTGCTAATAAACACAATGTCAGCGAGAAAGTAATTTTCCACTAAACGTAGAATGTCGTTACAATCACTATCAAAAGTAGGTGTGTAAGTGTGTTGCTCATGAACACAGTGTCAGCGAAAAACACATTATTTTCCACTAAATATAGAATTTCATGACAATCACCACAAATGTGCAGTTAAGTAGGTGAATAATACATCTTCCACTGAATGTAGAACGTCACTACAATCAGCATGAATACAGAAAGTAGGTGAAGTGCCTTGCTCATAAACACAATGTCAGCGAGAAAGTTATTTTCCACTAAATGTAAAACGCCATTAAAACTGCCATCAAAAGTAGGTGAAGTGCAACGAGGAAATAATGTTATTTTCCACTAAATATATAATGTCATTACAATCTCCACCAATACGCAGTGAGTTGGTGAAGTATCTTCACTCACGAACACAACGTCAGTGAAAGATACATGTTATTTTCCACAAATTTTCATTACAAAAACACCAATATGTAGTTAAGTAGAGGCAACTGCTCCTGAACACACTGTCAATGCGAAATGTTATTTTCTACTAAATATAGAATGTCATTCCAAGTGCCATCAAAAGTAGGTGAAGTGTATTGCTCATGAAGATGAGGGCAATGAGATATAATGTTATTTTCCGCTAATTATATAATTACATAATTATATAATTACAATCAGGCAGTATAAAACAGGCAGTATAAGTAGGTGAAGTGTCTTACTCATGAACACGTCCGCGTGAAATACATGTTATTTTCCATTATATATAAAAGGCCGTTACTATCACCAGGAAATATGAAGTAAATAGATGAAGTGTCTTGAACGTCAGTGAGAAATGCATGTTATTTTCCACTAAATTTCATTCCAAAAAACACCAAAAGGCAGTTAAGTAGGTGAAGTGTTTTACTCACGAACACAACGTCAGTGAGAAATACATGTTCTCACTGGCGAGAGGTGAAATTACTACTTAACTAAAGGTAAACTGAGGTGATACTGTTTGGGGCCAGCAGTCCCCTCATTAATGTGGGACACCTCAAAAAATGATGTTCGTCCCACAGTCACCAACCTTGGCATGACCTTTGACAGTGATTTTAAGTTTGACAAGCAGATCAATGGTGTTTTAAGATTAACTTTTTATCATTTGCGGCTTTTGTCTAAAGTTAAACCCTTTTTATATCTTTTAAACTTTTTGAACAAGTTATGCACGCTTTTATTTCATCATTTCATTTAGTCCAAAACTCTGCAGCGCGACTTTTAACAGGAGCAAAAAGAGAGAGAGCACATAACCCCAAACCTTGCGTCTTTGCACTGGCTTCCTGTTCATTTTAGACTTGATTTAAAAAAAAATTTGTTTGTTTTTAAAGCTTTGAATGGACTGGCCCCACAGTACGTCTCGGACCTCATCCAAATTTATAACCCCGTGTGGTCACTGAGGTCTGAGGGCCAACTCCAGCTCAGGGTGCCCAAGACGAGACTTAAAACCAGGAGGACAAGACCTTCTCTGTGGTCGGCCCTAAACTCTGGAACGTTCTGCCCTTCCACGTTCGAACAGCGCCCACAGTGGAGAACTTTAAGTCTTTTATTCTCTGGCTTTTAACACCGCGTGAGAGTTGCGGTTCCTCTGTGTTTTTTTTATTTATTTTTTTTTTTTTATGTATTTTTATTGGTGTTATTTATTTATTGCTATTCTATGATTTTGCTCAAATTTTATTTTACTGGTTTCATTATTATTATTATTATTATAAGTTTATTTTATTATTTTATTGTTGTTATTATGTATTTGTGCAGCACTTTGGAAACTGCACAGCAAAAACTGGAGGGTTAAAATTTTAGGGTAAAATATTTCGGAGTTGTTTTTAACACCAAACGTGTTATTTTAACTATTTGAAAGTTAAATGTGGGTTCAAGTTGGGGTTATTTGCCAGAGTAGTTGAGGTTAATTCAACTTCTCTTAGTGTTAATTTGGCTCCTCCCATTCACCACTTCAAACTCTTGCGAGAGAAGTGGTTTTTGAACCAGTTTTGTTCATAATTTCATCTTAAATTAACTAAAATAAAGCATAAATAAGATAAAACACCTAATCAGGAACTGTACAAAGTGTTACTACATTAAAATAACTCTGGATTTCGGGGTTAAACATGAACTTTGGTCCAGTGTAACTTAAAGGTTGTATAGAGGATTTTTTAAGGGAAAAGAAATACAGCGACAGTCCTTTTTCAAATGTTGTGGATGCGTGACACCACCTTCCTCCTCCACAGCTCCTCCCGCCTCTTTACTCTAGAAATCACATTTGTTTACCGCCGGTGTGCGTTCAGAATTACTGTTGAAGTGACCTGTCTAGAGGTAATTTAGCGACCAATGCATCAGTTTTTACACCCTTCGTTTACTTCATTCGCGCAATCGCTGGAAGAGATCTCCAAGAATCACCTCAGTTTGTCTTCGTTCCTTTTCACCGTCTCTTCTTCTTTCAGCGACCTCAAAAACCAACTTTCTTTTGCGGCGAACCGGTCGTGGATCGCAACAAACTTTGTACGAAATGCTAGGAAGCGACAGTTTGTAAAAGCCTCTAAGAACCGCTGCGTAAACCACGTAATCCCCACGCGCTGGCAAGTCAGTTACGCTAGAAATGTAGGGAGTTTGATTGACAACCTAACAGCCAATAGAAAATGAGGTAGTCTCGTTATCTATTGGCTGATGTTTATCTGGCCTCACTACGTCCACAGTTGATAGATTTTCATTCTTTTTTTATTTTTTGGTCATCATAATTACAAGGCTGCTGCGTCTCTGTAAGGGTATTTTAAACTTTCATTGACAATTTGAAACAAAAAAAAAAATCCTCCATACAACCTTTAATTAACATTTCCAAAAATGTTAAATTAACTCTAGAACAGATTGGACTCATATAAACTCTGAGAAAATGTTAAAGTCGATTCCGTGAGAGTCAATTTTAACTCTCCACTTTTTGCTGTGTGTTTGTGAAATGCGCTATAGAAACAGAGTGGATTGGACATGCTATTTTTGATCAAATATCGAAAGAGCGTCATTACAATCTCCAGCAGCAGTAAGTTGGTGAAGTGTCTTGCTCGTGAACTCAACGTCAGTGAGATAAAACATGCGCATTACCGTTCTGCGTGAGCTTGGTGGAGCAGACCAGGGTGCAGATCTGGAACGAGTCTTTGCTGATGCTACAGTTGCCCAGGTTCTGCGTGGTCTTTCCGGCCGCAGAGTACCCCTTCTCCTCCAGCTCCATCTTTGTGGCGGGCAGGTTCAGGTACAGAGACGAATCTTCAAACTTCTTCGCTTCAGCCTAAAATTGAAAAAGAATTGCCGTGATAATTTTCAAAGTGAACAGGGTCAATCAGTCAAAATTGCATGAATAAAACATAGTATTCTTGTCACTGGGCTCATTTGCAATGCTTATTAGGAATTTAATGTGATTATCAAAATGTGAAGAATTACAGTGGGGTTGTTTTATTCTAAATGTTGAACGGGGTCACTAAGTCAGAAACGGAAATAGAAGAGTTATTATTATTATTATGCAGAGTTCCAGGCAGCTTAGAGGTTGGATATTTCCCATTGGAACATTAAAGGTTGTATAGAGGATTTTTTAAGGGAAGCGAAATACAGCGACCGTCCTTTTTCAAATGTTGTGCGCATGTGTGACACCTCCTTCCTCAGTAGAAACATCTCCTCCTCCCGCCTCTTTACTCTAGAAATCACATTTGTTTACATCCAGTGCGTGTTCAGAATCACTGTTGAAGTGACCTGCCTAGAAATATTTTAGCGACCGACGCGTCACTTTTTAGACCCTTCGGACTTTCTTTTGCGGCGAACTGGTCGTGGATTCTCGTCCGCCGTCGCGACAAACTTTGTGCGAATTGCGAGGAAGCGACAGTTTGAAAAAGCCTCAAAGAACCGCTGCATAAACCACATAATCCCCGAGCGCCGGCGAGTCAGTTACACTAAAAATGTAGGGAGTTTGACTGACAACCTAACAGCCAATAGAAAAAGAGGGAGCCTCGTTTTCTATTGGCTGATGTTTATCTGGCCTCACTACGTCCACTACTGATAGATTTTCATTCTTTCTTTTTTTTTTTCTGCTGCTGCATCTCTGTAATGGTGTTTTAAACTTTCAATGACAATTTCAAACAAAAACAAAAAAATCCTCCATACAACCTTTAAAAGTTGCGACCTTAGAGCGTTAAAGCTGAATTAATTCATATGTAAACAATACGGCTTATGCTAAACTGAAAGCTAAAGAAATGTAAACAACTGTAACACATGGATTAAGACAGAATATTAATACATTTGCACTGACGTCGACTCCAGTGTGAGTTGAAACGCACTCAGCTCTCAGTCAGAGGCACTAAATTTTGGAAAATTCTCCCACTATCAATAAGAGAGACTCCAACACTGGACACTTTCAAATTCTACTTAAAACAGCGGCTAAATGAAAACCAGACTTGTGGACACTTTTAGTTTAGAACTGTCACTGGTTTTTGTTGTTTTTTTCTTTGTTAAATTTGTGGTGTTACCTGCCCAGGGACTACAGACGGAAATTAACATTCTTGGTATAATCTGTCATATTTACACTGCGGTGTTGTAGATGTTCATTAATCTGCACTGTCCCTATTATATAAATAAATAAATAATAATAATAAAAACATAACAAAACAGAGCATAACAAAGCGTAAACATAACATAGCATAACATAAAATAACACAGCATAAGATAACAAAGCATAGCATAGCATAGCATAACATAAAATAACACAGCATAAGATAACGAAGCATAGCATAGCATAACATAACATAACATAACGTAACATAGCATAGCATAAGAGCATAAGATAACATAGCATAACAAAACATTGCATAACATAGCATAAACCTAACATAATGTAGCATAGCATAACATCGCATAAAATAACGTAACATAGCATAACATAGCATAGCTTAATATAGGCGAGTTTCAGCTGACGTCATTGTTATTAAAAGCCCGCGTTGCATGCTGGGAAATATTTTGGTCGGAGGCAAGAAACACGGTAGCGTCAAACACAGAGCGTAACCTCGCGTATTTATCCCCGATAATGGTAAATTCCTGCTGCATTATCGGATGCACAAACAGAAGCACGGAAGAAGGAAAATGTCTTTTTCGTATTCTGAGTGAAAAGAACCGCTAATGGCGAATTAAACGGCTTTCAAACATCCGCAGAGCAAACGTAGAAGATCCTAACAAACCGTGGACTCCAACAAGTTCAACAACACATCGAGACTCTTGGAGGTTTTCATCTTTTCTGCTGTGAATGGCCCAGGAGTTTCCACCAAGTCATTGTGGATATCAAAGAAGTGAATATTTGTCCAGGTAGTTGGTGATTCCGACCAGAAGTTTGGTTTGGTCCAGGCTCTGTAGGGGTTGAAAAGGGTGATTTGGCTCCATCGATGCTTATGACCAATTTCTGGTCAAATCGTCTTCGGTCCTCTGCCGTTAGAGTGGATAAATAACCGGATCAATACCCTTTACGTGCTTTCTCGCTCCGTCCGTCATGTTGAATTAGTGTTTCTTGCATAATTCCCAGCATGCAACGCGCGCTTTTGTCAACAATGAAACTCGTCTATAGGGTGACCAAATGTCCGTTTTCCCCCGGACATGTCAGTTTTTTGCGTCCTGTCCTGGGCGTCCGTTTTTTGTTTGTTTTTTTTCATAAAGTGATGCAGATGCCTGGGTTCTCATGATGTTTCTTTGGGCCATTAAATTGAGCGTCTCTCGTATCTCTCTGTGCACTCAGAAGGAGCGAGCAGACACAAACAGTCGGTCAGTCTGCAACATGCCGAAGCGAAAATGTACATTTACCGATGACTTGGACAAGAAATTCCCCGTTTTCTGTCCCGTTCGAGACAAGTGGGAGGCCATGTGCACAGGTTGCGAGGTGAGAGTAGCTCAATGTCGAGACACCGACTCCCGGTAAGGTGTCCGGGTTTACACAAACGGAAATATAGTCACCCTGTATAACATAACATACCGCAGCATAGCATAACAAAGCATAAACATAACATAGCAAAACATTTAAAGCAAACTGAGTTGTACCTGCTTTTTTGTCTAAAACATCTGCCCAGACCTTGAGAAGCACCTGTTTTTTTACGTACTTGCATATCTGTGTGTCCGGGTGAGCGCTCCCAGTATCTTATTCTCAAACAGTCAGATTTAATTTTGACATCTTTTTTGTGGTGATTATCCACTCAGTTTCACTTGTTTGTGTTGATTAGCATTGTTGTATTATTTCACAGTTTAAATCAAATGTGAAGTGGCAGTCCTCAGATCATCTCCCTGTTCACGAGTTGGAATCACAAGTTGGAGCAGAGTTCCAGGGCATTTTTTTCCCAAGTCACAGGTGAAAAATATCCTAGTTGCCCGGAATTAACCAGAAGTCTGTAATTATCTATTTAAACTAAAGCTTTTACCCATAAATAGTTTTAAAAAATGCCAAGACCTGAAAAAAATAAATAAATAAATAAAAGTGCGCTGTATAACGTTTTCTAGTGCAACAAAAATGTATTATTTTAAAACTGAAAAACTCATATAGGAGCAAAAGCTATTTAATACTTAAAGGTGCACTATGTAACTTTTTGTAGGGGTTTCCGTTTTCTCCTTGTTTCTATGGATATGTCGTCGCTTTGCCTCAAATGTTCCACAGTATGGCATTAAACAGCTTTACACTACACTTATTCAATTACAAGTGGTTTTAAAGCTCAAAAATCCCTAGAAAAACATGAATTTTGACAGTGAGCGGGGTCGCCTCTCCACAGATCTGACCTGTAACTTGCTCTGGTTTGATCTCCATGACGATAGAAAGGTTTAACGCTACACTGTGAAACACTCCAGACAAAGCAATAACATTTGAAAAGAAAAAAGAAAAGCATTTGACGGACTTTCCACATGAAAAGTTACACAATGCACTTTTAACGTATTTCTTTTTCTCCCAAGTGAAAAGAATATGTCAAAAACGTTCTATAATTTCAAATACGTATATTAGCAGTGAAAAAAAATTACACCGCACTAAAACTAAATCCCATCAAAGCTCTAAATGACAGCTCCAGTTTAAGATCTCTAATGAGGTCAATGAGGATGGACCTGCTCATTATGGCTTTTTAATTAACACAAATGTGAATTATAACACACAATTGTAGCACACAGACAGGTTTAATTGGAAATAAATGAATTTTCAGTGTGGGGGCTGATCTCAACACTCAAGTCGCCACGGATACAAATCATCACAGCACCTACGATCTCCGGATCATTTTTCACGCGGTTGCTAATGGTTTCGACTTGAGAAGAGTGGGTTTAAGGGTGGCCACGTACAATAATATACCACACGGGTGCATGATGGGATATGCCTGTTACCACGGCGATAATAATGTTAAAGGGGGGTTCAACATTTGATTTCTCCATGAAGATGTTATTGGAAAATGTTTCACACACGGAATTAGACATAATGTTTTCCGTGGAGACAGGTAGATGACAACACAGACGTGGGACCAAGTCGTTATTTTGCAAGTCTCAAGTCTCAAGTCTTTGACCTCAAGTCCGAGTCAAGTCCCAAGTCAATTACAGGCAAGTCCAAGTCGAGTCTCGAGTCAATGGCTCATAAGTCCAAGTCAAGTCCAAGTTGTTTGCTTTGAGCTTCAAACCATTTTAAAGGTTGTATGGAGGATTTTTTTTTTTTGTTTCAAACTGTCAGTCAAAGATTAAAATACCATTACAGAGATGCAGCAGCTTTGTAATTATGAGGACCAAAAAAAAAAAGAATGAAAATCTATCAACTGTGGACGTGTTGAGGCCAGATAAACATCAGCCAATAGAAAACGAGACTACCTAATTTTCTATTGGCTGTTAAGGTTGTCAATCAAACTCCCTAGTATAACTGACTTGTCGGAGCGCAGGGATTACGTGGTTTACGCAGCGGTTCTTAGAGGCTTTTTCGAACTGTCGCTTCCTCGCATTTCGCACAAAGTTTGTCGCGACGGCGGATGAGAATCCACGACCGGTTCGCCGCAAAAGAAAGTCCGTTTTTGAGGTCGCTGAAAGAAGAAGAGAAGGGGAAAAGGAGCGAAGCCAAACCGAGGTGATTCTTGGAGATCTCGTCCAGCGATGGCGCTGACGAAGGGTCTAAAAACTGACGCGTCGGTCGCTGAATTACTTCTAGACAGGAAACTTCAACAGTAATTCTGAATGCGCACAAGGACTGTCGCTGTATTTCTCTTCCCTTAAAAAAATCCTCTATACAACCTTTAAGTCTTTAAACCAAAGTACCAAAGTAGTATAGCTTAGATTTTTGCAATTTATATAAATTTTAAGCTAAATTGTACTTTAAAAAATCATAGTATATTTACATATGAGTATTTAGAAAGTATGGAAGGGTTGTAGAAATGTAATTTTTTCCTTTTTAAATGTCTTGACAAGATCTTAGTGTGATCAAAAGAAACAGAAAACGCACACCAAAATTCTTGTAGAGGTGCAAATGCAAGGAGCAGCCTGACAAAAGTGAAAAAACGCATAGCACACTCAGATGTCCGATGCCCAAAAGCTTATTTATTTTCAAAATAACGTTTCAGTAAAAAAAAGCCTCCCTCAGATATTATTCTTGCTTTGGACCACAGCACCAAGATCCTAGTGTGAATCATTACAGTCAGAACAGAAAGAATTCAGATTTAAAAGTGCTTCTCAAGTCTTCTCACGTCACAGGCCTCAAGTCCGAGTCAAGTCCCAAGTCTTAGTCCATTTTATAAAGTCAAGTCTCAAGTCCTAAAAATAGTGACTCAAGTCCAACTCACGACTTGCACGTCCCACCACTGTGACAACACACAAACTACTCTTTTAGCAATGAAAACGCTGTATGAATATGTGCAAGATCAATAAGTTTAATGCCATATTGTGGAACATTCAAAGCAAAGCAGCAACATTATCATAGGGACAAGAAGCTGGCTGACTGAGAAACGTTTGCACCTGAAAAAAGTGCACTGAGAAAAGTTACTCAGTGCACCTGAATAAGTGAAAGTGAAACAAGTGAAATCATGCATTTTTATGTACACTCACGTTTTAGAATGCCACACTTTTTTATTTTTTTTACTGTGTACTGTTGACCAAAACATATTCTAAACTTTTGATTCATGACAGTTGACGAGCTGAACATACTCGTGGCATTCTTTATAAATCAAATATTCTTCATAAAGTTCTTCTCAAGTCTGTTGTAGAAAGACGTTTCCATAAATGTGTGGCACTTGTAGGTTTCTTGGTTTTCACTCTTCTGTCCAGTTCATCCCAAACCAGCTCGATGGGGTTTAAATCTGGACGCTGTGCTGGACACTCCATGTTTTCAAGTTTTACCATCTTGTTCTTTTTTCCTGAGGTAGTTTTGGCAGATCTTGGACTTGTGTTTTGTATCTTTTATCTTTTTTTAACCTCGGGCTGTTCAGTTCTTACCTCTGCACCATTTCAAGCTCTTCATTGAACTTGCACGACTTGAATTCCAATAAATAACTCGAAAAATTAGGCTGTTCTAAAACTTTTGACCGGTAGTGTATAAATAAAAAATCTGCCTAACATTGGTAGATTACACAACAATACAAAAACATTTCAAATATTTAAATAAAAATCTAATAGCTGTTGCACATTTTAAATTTATTTGTATGTTTCATGTTATTCTTTGGTGGATTTACCTTGTACACGATGAGGTCGTGCTCCCCGTCCCTCAGAGTGGTGCCGTCGTATCGCATCAGCTTCACAAAGGACAGGGCAAAGATCTTCTCCGATTTGTCTTTGGCTGAAAAAACAAAGAAGAAACAGAAGAAATGCATGTTAGAAGTTAAATATTATTCAACAAATGTTTTTTACATATATATTTTTTTATAATGCAAACATTGTTTCTTTGCCAATAGTGCACATTTGGGTTGAGTTAGATGGCTGGTCAATCAGGAATAAGAGTTTACATGCAAAGTTAAGTCTGTTATTTAACTTCATAATTGACATAAAGACAACAATGTTTAAATGTGTTCCTAAACCTTATGCAACAAAAAAAAAAAAAAAAATTAAAAATAAATAAAAACATTTTAGGAAAAACAATGAAATAAAAAAAAAAAATTAAATAAAAATGTAATTCATAAAAATTAAAAAATATATATAATAAATAAAATAAAATAATTGGTCTCAAGATTATACAGAAAAAAACAAAACAGCTAAAAATATATGAATTTTTACTCATATTCATTGTAATGTGTGAGTTTCCATGTTACTGTGAAAGACAAAGTTTACTCTTATTCACTTATTGTTTAAATTAAAACAAGATGTAGCTAAAAAATGTACAGAATTTTAAAAAAAGAAAGTAAGTTATCAGTTGAAGTGATGTTTATTTTATTTTATTTTAATTTTACCAAACATAGCCCAACTTTCCTCAACTATGTAATACACCTCTTCCTAAACCAAGTGAGTTTGCCATTATGAGCCCATTCAGAAATTTCACAGTCAGTTGAAGTTCAAGAAAAGCAGGGGCAAAGCAGGGAGAGTAGTGATTTGGTCTTTTGTGCGGTCTAATGATGTTGTTGAACATAAGGTGGCCTGAAAAGAGCTTTTAAAGGAGGTCAATGAGAGGAACAAGACACCATTATATACCATTTAATGCAATCAAGACTCATTCACACACACAAGGTCACTCACTCTCAACCTTGGACCCAAGAAGCTGATGGACCAATTATTCAAGCAATTCAAGTCATTCAAGTCATTATCAAAAGTGAATCGCAAAGACAATATGGCGTAACAGAATATATTACAGTTTTCTCTCATGTCAGCTTTGACTTTTATCTTTAAACTGCAGATCTGTTTCATGGTAATGTTCTTTCTTTCACAACAGTAATTAGAGTCTTAAAGAGACAGTATCTATTCTCAAGTAATGTTTGAAGGACCAATCCGAAAGCTCTCGAAACTATTATCATGTATCTGAATCAACCTGTATTCACAAGACTACACCTGCAGGGGGAGTTCATGCAAAAGCAACTATTTATGCAGATAAAGTACTCGAAAACAACGTGTATATAAACTTGTGAATCATGTTTAGTCGAAAATGTTTAGTCGACTAACACAAATTTTTGTCAACTAAGACAGGGGTCCCAAACCCACGGGCCGCAAGTCATTTGTTACCGGGCCGCGAAAGCGCAACCCCCCCTCCCATACGCCTGTTTGCCACGTGGGCCATGTCTTCTCGTGTACGCTGCATGGATCGTGTCTTCTCACATACGCTGTATGGACCGTGTCTTTTCATGTACGCCACATGGACCGTGTCTTTTTACATGTACGCCACATGGACCGTATCTTCTCACATGTACGCCACATGGACCGTGTCTTCACATGTATGTCACGTGAACCATGCCTCTTCCTGAACCCCGCATGGACCGTGCCTCCTCCCAAACTCCATGTGGACCGTGTCTTTTTTCTAAATCATAACTAAAACCAGGACTAAACCAGAACTACACCAGGTCTAAAACCAGGATTTAACCAGGATTTAAACCAGGATTTAACCAGGACTAAACCAGGATATAACCAGAACTAAACCAGGATTTAACCAGGACTAAACCATGCCACATGGACCACACACCATGCCTCTTCCTGCCTCCTGCCACACGCTGCACCGTGCCTCCTTCTATTATTATTGTTTTAAAAATAAAACAATAGAAAGCTGTGATTATTTAAAAAAAAAAAAAAATGTATCCAGCAAAAAATGACATTATGGTAAGAGAATGTATGGATTTGTGGTGTATTATTTGAATAAGCATGCCTTTATAGCAACATACTGCAGTACTACAGTTACATAAAGCTACTTCTTGTATGTAAACTAAATGTACTGACTGTGTAAACTATAGGGGACTTCTTATGCCTGTGTCCCATATGCAGCGTTTTATGAAAAGTAGTGTATGATTTGAACATGCGTACCCTTCCAACAATATACTGAAGTACTACAGTTACACATAGCTACAACCTTCATGTAAACTAATGGCCTGTGTAAACTGTAGGAGACTCTCATGCCCATGTGCAGCGTTTGTACAGAAGCTCATACATCATCAGAGCAGATCAACAGGCTCAGATTTAGGTGTGCCCGCTCGTGATTCATCGTCACATCTCACACACGGGCTCTGCATAAATCCTCTCATTGGTCTGCAGCCCGTGGCCTCACTGCTGAATAACGACGAGGACTGAAAACGAGAGAAACAGCGCCACTTGTGTGAGGAGAGGTGAACTGCGAGCTTGAGAGGAAAATGTCCCAGAAGTTCTCAGAATAGGGAATAGTTTAGAGTTTAGTTGCTACCAGAACATTCTGAACTGACCATAGATTCACAATGAGGTGGAGAGTGTTTAATAATTGTATGGCAGAGTTTGTAGTTAATTTGTTTTAATGCAGATATTTTGATCTGTTTTTTTTTTGTTTTTTTTGGTTAATATCTCAGTTATTTAAAAAGGACTATCCACATTTTGTCACGATACTAAAGTTCCATATTTGATACTAAGGTATAGACTTGAAACTAAATACTGATTCTGTTATCACATTGATGATTTAAAACATTATTTATTTAGACAATAGAATGTGATTTTCAACATTAAATCATAGTACTTTCTTTCCATGCAAGTACACTCAAGATCAATCTAAAGCTATTCAGGAAAGATTCATTTTTGTCCTGTGAATGTGATTTTTTTAGTATCAATATCTGCTCAAATGAGGATCTAGTTTCAATACTAGTTTTAATATCAGTTAGTATCTGATTCATTTCTAATTTTGACAACCCTCTGTGGTAATATGGTATTATTAATTTACAATGATTTGATTGAAACTATTATGAAAGTCAAGTGAAAGAAGTTTGTGGATGTAAAAGAACTGGACTAAAGTCTAGACCAGAGCACAAAGACTTGGGGTGTGGAAAAATATTGAAATATCGATATATCGTATTGGTTAATGTGATGATACAATATCGATATCGCGGGCTGCTGTATCGAAATATCACCAAGAGTATTTTTTGGTATATTTTACTAAATTATTTTGTTACAACTACAGTTTTGTTGTTTGTTCAGAGGAAGGAAACTGATTTATGCAACAGATTTGACATTTTCACTTTTTTGATGATTAAAATGTTTGTGTTTCATATGAACTTTGCACAAAAAGTGGTTTAACAAAGACTTTAGTATCACAGCCATGATTTAGACTTTATTTTTATTGAATCGTATCGAATTGAAAGTGTGCTGTATCGAGATATGTATCGTATCGTGGCCTCGGTATCAAGGCATGTATCATATTGGCAAGTTTTTAATGATACACAGCCCTAATCAAAATATTGATATATTGTATTGTATAATGTGATGATATGGTATCGATATCATGCGTTGCTGTATCATTATAGCACCAAGAGTATTTTACTTAATTATTTTGTTGTAGAGCTACAGTTTTGTTGTTTGTTTAGTGGAAGGAAACTCCTTTATGCAACACATTTGATATTTTCACTGTTTTGATGATTAAAATGTTTGTGTTTCATATGAACTTTGCAGAAGATGTGGACATTTAGTATCACAGCCACGAATTAGCATCTATTTTTATTCTACCATATTGAATCGATTTTAAATATATCATATCAAATCAGAAGCTCACTGTATTGTGATATGTACCGTATCGTGGCCTATGTATCGAGGTATGTATCGTATCGGCAACTTCTTAATGATACCCAGCCCTACCTAATCAAAATATCGATATATATCATATCATTTAATGTGATGATACAGTATCGATATCATGGGCTGCTGCATCGACATATCCAAGAGAATTTTACTTAATTATTTTGTTACAGAGCTACAGTTTTGTTGCTTGTTCAGTGGACAGAAACTCGTTTATGCAACACATTTGATATTTTCATAGTTCTGAAAATATAACAACTAATACAAAATGGTTGTTTTTCATATTAACTTTACACAAGACGTGGACCTTTAGTATTGCAGCCATGATTTAGCATTTATTTTTATTGAACCATATCGAATCAATTTGAAATATATCATATCAAATCAGAAGCTCACTGTATCAAGATATGTATCGTATCGTGGCCTATGTATCGCGGTATGTATCGTATCGTGGCTTATGTATCGAGGTATGTATCGTATCGTGGCCTATGTATCGCGGTATGTATCGTATCGTGGCTTATGTATTGAGGTATGTATCGTATCGAGGTATGTATCGTATCGTGGCTTATGTATTGAGGTATGTATCGTATCGAGGTATGTATCGTATCGTGGCCTATGTATCGAGGTATGTATCGTATCGAGGTATGTATCGTATCGTGGCCTATGTATCGAGGTATGTATCGTATCGTGGCCTATGTATCGAGATATGTATCGTATCGTGGCCTATGTATCGAGGTATGTATCGTATCGTGGCCTACGTATCGATGTATGTATCCTATCGAGGTATGTATCGTATCGTGGCCTATGTATCGAGGTATGTATCGTATCGTGGCCTATGTATTGAGGTATGTATCGTATCGAGGTATGTATCGTATTGTGGCCTATGTATTGAGGTATGTATCGTATCGAGGTATGTATCGTATTGTGGCCTATGTATTGAGGTATGTATCGTATCGAGGTATGTATCGTATCGTGGCCTACGTATCGAGGTATGTATCGTATCGTGGCCTATGTATCGAGGTATGTATCGCATCGTGGCCTGCGTATCGAGGTATGTATCGTATCGTGGCCTATGTATCGAGGTATGTATCGTATCGTGGCCTACGTATCGAGGTA